TTCAGTTCCCAGCACCCACATGGAGGCTCACAAGTACCTGTAACTCCAGTCCCAGAGTCTTATGCCCTCCTCTGGCTAATGGCTATGTGCGAAGTTGGAGCCCAGTCCGGACCATATGAGACCCTGACTCAAAAGCAAGGAGTCTTAATGGGCCCCAGGAAAACAAAAATAAAAAAAGTTCTATATTTTTAGAACTTTCCTAAACAAGTAACTTTGAAAACAACCTTTTGGACTGGTGAGACAACTCAGCAGGTAAAGGAGTTTGCTACCAAGCCTGAGTTCAATCCCTGCACCCCGTTATGTACAAGAGAATCGACTCCTAAAACTGTTCTCTGAACTCCACCTCTGTGCAATGGCTTGCGCGCGCGCACGCCTGTAATGTAATGAAAAAAGAAAAATTTTTTGTTTTTCAAGACAGGGTTTCTCTGTGTATCCCTGTTGTCCTAGAACTAGCTGTGGACCAGTCTAGACTTCAACTCAAGAGATCTGCCTGCTTCTGCTTCCTGAATGCTAGGATTAAAGGTGTGTGCCACCACAGCCCCATGGGGGAAGGGAGCTTTTAAAAATAACTTTTTCTTGGGTAATCTAGAACTATGTAGACCAGGCTGGCTTCAAACTCACAGAGATCCACCTGCCTCTGCCTCTCATCAGCCTGGTTTCCTTCCTCAGATTTTTATTATACAAATATACAGCTCTTTAATGAAGGGTTAAACTTGAAGTAGATGCCTCTTAACAGATGAATTTTTTTTCCAAGACAGGGTTTCTCTGTGTAACAGTCCTGACTGTCCTGGATCTTACTTTGTAGACCAGGCTGGCCTCCAACTCACTGAGATCCGCCTGCCTCTGCCTCCCAAGTGCTGGGATCAAAGGTGTGTGCCACCACACCTTTGGGGTTTAACTGATGAATTTTGATAACATACATACATTATTCACTGACCTCCATATAAGCACTGTAACACACACACACTCATTCATCCACACAATAAATGTAATAAGAAAATTTTAAAGAAATATTTGTGTGGCCAGGTGACGGTGGTGCAGGCCTTTGATCCCAGCACTTGGGAGGCCGAGCCAGGTGGATCTCTGTGAGTTCGAGGCCAGCCTGGTTTACAGAGTGAGATCCAGGACAGGCATCAAAACTACACAGAGAAAACCTGTCTCAAAAAACTGGGGGAAAAAAAAAGGACAGATTTGTGTGTAAATAGATTGTTCTTATGTGACTTCATTGTACATACAGGCACAAGCCATTTATTACATAACTTAGTGTAAATCTTGGATACTCAAATTTATAGACTGATTGCTCTGATATGACATAATAGAACTGGACTGAGGGATTCTCTCTACATTATAATGTATTTATTCATTATTTGGGCATGGAGGTCAAAGGGCAACTTGGAGGAACTGGTTCGCCCCTTCTATGTGAATTCCTCGATTCGAACTCGGGTTGTCAGGCTTGCTGACAACACCTTTAACTGCTGAGCCCTCTCACGAGCCCAATTGACATGTGAGCAGCATTTCTTAATTTACTTTTTACTCTCCATAGTCCTGAAACCACCTAATGACTTCAAGACCTCATCATCTGCTCCAATTTTTCTTAAAGAAAGGAAATCATGATTTCCAGATGTGAATAACAAGTCCAACATTTTCTACTAGGCATAGTCCCTAAATTTAAAATAGTTGTATGGTTCGGTCCCTAAGAGCAAAGACTGTTGTGTAGGGGATGTGGGTGTGGAGCAGCACAGAAACCTAGGAACCCAGTTCTTGCCCAGCACCCACCAGGTCCTGTGATCCATCCCCAGCACTACATAAAACAGGTGTGATGGTACATGGCTGCAGTCCCAGCACTCAGGAGATAGATGAGTTGACGGTCATCCACAGCTACATACTGCAAGTCCAAGGCTACATGTTCTATGAAAACTTCATCTGAGGGGAAGAAAAGAAAAAAAAAAAAGATGGCCTCATGTGGCTCAAATTCAGACAACTTTGGCTTCAGGAGTGCTAGGGTTACAGATGTCCACCACAGCCAGCCAGTCCTTCCGAAGCACCATATTTCTGTACTATTTGTCTCAAGTGTTTATACTTCTAATGTGAAGTTAATATGACGCTTTGTTCTGCTTCTGAATGCTGAGATTATTGATGAGAGCCACCATGCCCAGCTCTCTTGGGGTTTTGAGTTATAATCTCGTCATACAGCCCAGGCTGGTCTTCACCTCTAGGGTCTTCTCTGCATCTCAAGTGCCAGGATCACGAGTGTGCCACCACACTCAAGCAGAGATGAGTATTTTGCAAGGACTCAACACACACTCAGAGGGTCACTACATATCACTTTTCCACAGCCATCCATTTTTTTTTAGATGTGTGTTGGTGTTTTGCCATGGGTGTTGGGTCCCCTGGAACTGGAGTCACAGACAGTTGTGAGCTGCCATGTGGGTTCTGAGAATTGAACCCAGGTCCTCTGGAAGAGCAGTCAGGCCCTTAACTGTTGAGCCATCTCTGCAGCCTCCTAACATCCACCTTTATCATACAGGCCCTCTCATTGGCCTGGAGTTCACTAATTAGGCTAGACTGGATGGCTAACAAGCTTCACGGACTCTATCACCTCCCTAGTGCTGGGACTGTGAACAATGGTCGCCACGCTGGGCTGCTGTAAACAATGGCCACTACACTGGGCCGCTGTATATGGGTTCTGGGACTCCAGGTCAGTCTTGCACAGAAAGCAGTTTCCTGTGTCCCCAGCCCTTTGTTTTGTTTCCTGGTACAAACAATTCTTGCTTTGTAATCCAAGTTGGCATAGAACTTAATTCATAGCCCAGGGTGTGTGTGAACTCATAAGTCAGCACAGGCTAGCCCGGAACTCATGCCTCAGCCTCCTGAGTGCTGGGTGTGTACCACTATACTTGACCACGCTGCACTATTTCAGAACCTGTGAGAGAGGGGAGAGAAGAGGAAACAAGAGGGCAAAGAGAGGAGGAGGGAGGAAGAGGAGTTCAAATCCTTCGTGTTGGCTTTCTTCAAGTGGACTCACGTCTTCATCAGAAACCTGTTTCACCCGGTGCTACAGATGCTTTTTTTTTTTTT